TCTTGCAAATTGATTCATAATATATTGAGCACTCACACCCAACCCTTGCTCAACAGCTCAACTAGATCTAAGTCTACATATATCACTGCCCAAAGATTTATAAAACACAATATAAATACCGCAGACAATCTTACTGACAGCCAGAGTGTCAGCCAGAGTGCGAAAAGACTTTTATTAAAATACCATAATGATGTGATTGTTTCTCTCGTTTATCTTCTTCCTTTTTTGCGGTCTGTTTCGTTTAGTTCACGTCTTTTAAAATTTAGTGAACATATAAAACATCTTCTGAAGCTTCTTGATTCTACAACATTATGTGTCCCGTTGCGCATTCACTATCGGACGTGCCGCCCGTATTGCCAATACTTTAAAATCAGCGCGGAAACTTCGAGTAGTTAGTCAGCACAGATATTGGATATATAGATTCTATTCGGGAACATAATCTGACCAAGAAAAAGAAACAAAAGAAGAGAGAAACGAGTGAGAGAGAGCGATAAAAGCTGCAATGGTAATGTGAAGCAGATGAAACCGAATGATGCGAATGACGGGCATCGAGTCGAGAGCCAAAGCGAAAAGCCGAACCATGTTGGAGTCGAAGGGAGCAGCTAGAGGAGTGGAAGAGTGCAGGAGTGGAGAGTGGTGCACGGGGTGCCCCGGCACAGGCACAGGCACAGAAATTGCAACCGATAATAATTATTTTTATGGAGTCTAGTCTGTGTCTAGACGATTTTTTTTTTTTTCGTGCAGTTACTTCACTTGCCATTGGGCGAGCAGCAGGTCGGGTTCAGCTCTCCCTCTCCCACTCGCTCCGACTGCTGTGGTCTGCTGTGGTATTGGCGCGACGGAGCTGGGGCTCTGGGGGTCTGCCACTGTGTCATTGTTTTCGCTTTGATTCCGATTTAACTGGTAAACTGGCATTTAACTGTTTCTCTTTGACAAACAAGACAGACGGGCGAGCGGCTGGGCGACGTGTGGAAACGGCCAGACAGACAGCAAAACTCTGCACCAAATAGAGCTGGAAGACAAGTAAGAGTGTTTAGCTGGCAAGTGGGAGCGCGGCTAGCAGATACCCAGCATATTGTGGTTGTAGTGAATATATATGCGACTCGACTCGACTCGACCAAAATCAATATACATCTCTGACTCACAATATGTACAGGGTATAATAACTAGTGAGCGTACAAACCGACTTCAACGAGACGTTAAGACAATCAGACAGACAGACAGACAGACTCTCTCAGACTCCACAAGCATGAGTAAAAGTCAAGCCGCGCTTACTTCTCTGCCCACAGTCTTCAGCTTCCGTTTGCAGTTGCCCAGTTGCAGTCCAGTTTGGCCAACTCCAACCAGCTGCTGCAATTGCTGATGCAGCGGCTGTGACATCCTCAATTGCGTCTTCAGAACGACCACATTTTGGACATCATTTACATCCATATCTATATATATCTTCATATATAGATACTATCTATTTGGATTTTTTGTCTGAGCTCGAGCTGTCGGGCGGCAGATAGCCAAAGCGCAGACGCGCCTGCTCATACAGCATAAAGGTGATTATCGTATTCGGACTGATGCGCAACAGAGCCGGTATGAAGCCCTTGTAGAATGCGAATGGACCCTGTTTCATTGTGTGCACAATGACAGCGCCCAGACCACTGAATTCACCGGGCGGCGCATTCATATACGTTGTCTTCATCACATCGATGGGCTGTGTCATCAGTGTGCCAATGAAACCGGCTACTGTGGATGTTAGAAAATGCAATGGAAGTCCCTCCTTCATGCCCATCTCGCGCTGCAAAACCTGCTTAACCTGGTCATAAGCGGCATTGGTGCCAATTGTTAAAAATACGGCCCGCGACACGGCTGGCACGGTGCCGCGAAATAGATTCTTAACCCCCTCCTCCTTAGCGATCCGATAAAGGCCATCGAAAACGTGCTTATAGCTGGGGGAATGATGGGTTATTAAACAAGAGAGAGAGAGAGAGACAGAGAGGAAGTGAGAGAGGAAGGGAGAGAGAGAGAGAGAGAGAGAGAGATGGATAGAGTTTCGATGGAATATGATTAGCTCTGCGAATTGTGAGCTATACATTAAGATATACCGATTCAACTGAAAACGAAAGTCGATTTTTATCGATAGGAAGTGATCGTTTACTTCACCAGTCATCGATAAAGTAGATCTAATAGTCAATATTTAAAGCTTTTATGGGATCGATGGAGTCCATAAATTATCAACATAAAAGTGATCTGGGCTTGGTATAATAGATACTTAAAAATAATCTCATTTTGTCTATAGTTCTGAGGTATTATTTAAATTGATCAATATACCAGAAGAATAATTTAATATCTATTGATTTTAGTATAACAATTTGATCTCTCAATCATCATGAGCTCAGATCCATTGACTGATAAAGATAAACTATACAGAGCTCGATGTCAAATTTAAAGATTCTTGATATGCATTTATAGAGATATTTGTAATAGGCAAAGCTCATCCTTTCATATAGAAAACAACGAACCGATGATCGACTAATTCAACAAGTGAACTATTTTCTACTGAAACCCATCCCTAACCCCATCCCATTCAGACTGACTATCGAGGTGAATATCCTATAATAACTGTCCATCAATAACAATATCCCATTCGGACTAACGATCTATTATACTCATCGAGATCTCATGTCTAAACTCATTCATTGCTCACCCGCGACGCTCGGCCGGTGGGAGCTTGGTGTCATTCTGTAACCGCACTGTTACCACATCACCCGGCACGCCCAGTATTCCGCCAAAGAAGCCCGCAAACGTGGCCAACTGGAATTTTGCTGACATATTGTTGGCATCCACAAAGTTCTTACCATATTCGTACAGCGCAAAGCGGGCCGTGGTGTAGGTGAGCTGACGAAACCACGAGGCCGAAATGCCACTGTAAAACCCCAGAATTCCTAGAACGAATTCATTTTGGTATTTCCTTCCAATGCTGCTGCCGTACTGGCATCACGCTTACCCGCATTCCTATATATGTTGGCAATCAGATGCGAAACGGGCACCCTCTTCGATTGTGTCTGCAATTGAACCTTTACCAGATCCAGCGGATGTGTCGTCGTCACGGCCATCGCGGAACATACGCCGCCCGACCACCAGCGTGGCAGGCGCCTAGAATCTAATTCACCCATTACCCCCCAATGAAATACCGAACGATTTCTATAACAACGAGTTGCGTAACAGCGGTGCGACTAAGAGTCCAAGTGTCATGTCTTACATTAATTTTGACTAAGCAAACCAACTGATCTATTAATAGTTTAAATGTATATATTTAAATCTATATATGTATATAGGGAATTTTGAAAAAATGGAGTTGATTATTGATTCAAAGCTCATCCAACCTTTAACTAACTAATTATATATGTCATTTGCTGTACAGCTTTCACCAGGCCATATGTATGTTATATATCTATTTGTATTTATATATATGTATATATACTTTTTCGATATTTAAACATTTTCCTCCAACTTTTTCTCTCCTTTACCTCATTAACTTTTATTATCTAACATCTTAAATGGTACTTAGATACATCCCTATTGGCAAAATCTTAACCTTTATAAGGTGAGGATACCAACGGGTACAGATCTTAAATTTTTATCGCTAACTTCTAGCTTTTATAGAAATCATCAGCTATCCTAAAGGCTGACAAAATAGAAGGGAAGCTAGACAGCCGCACGGGCAATACATAAAACCCATAAGCAACTCTCCCACATTTTGTTCGATACTAGAACTGCCTCCACTTTTCTGCCAGTGTACGCCGTCGCATCTTGTGCCGTTCGCATTTGTAGCGACAATAAACGACACCTTTTACTTTTCTTGCAGTTGGTCTTCTGGTATTTCGCATCGGTGCATCTGCTGCTGGCGCGCTCAACTGCTGCGATATTATGTTATTATGGCAATTATAGTTACGACACGATTCGCGCTCTTTCATGTGGCGGCATCTATGGCATTTTTTGAATGTGCACAGATTTGCTCGCAGCGATAAGAGGGCGATGCGAAAGCTGATGCCGATCTGATGCCGCATTGCAATTACAAACATTTTAATGCAATTAACACACACGCACACCTGGGCATACATCTGTGTGTGTGTGTGTGAGTGTGTGTGTGTGTGTGTTGGTAAGGGAAACGCTTCGCTGCTCATTTGCCTGGACGATTGCAATTCGAAACGCGGCGGCATCGCCAAAAGACAAGCTCAAACTTCACAAAAAAAAAAACAAAAAAATAAAAACAAAAACAAACAAAAAACAAAAACAACTTCAAAGCGTTTGCGACATCTGTGCGTGTGTCAGTGTCGATTTCAACCCACTATGCAGCACCACCACCAAGGTTTGCCTCTGTGAGGTTTGCCGCCCCGGACTGCTATCAGTGTACCAGATACGTCCTCCTCGATGTCGTCGTCGTCGTCGTCTTTGTCGTCCTCGTCTTCTTTGTAGTTGCCGCGTTGCACTTCTTTGCAATGTCTTGTGCGTGTGTGTGTGTGTGTGTTGGCCAAGTCTAACGAGCCAGTTGGCCAAGCTGGTAATAAGGGCCAGTTGGACATGCCACAGGCCGCAATATGGTTACAACATGTCAGCGTTCACATTCATGTCCACCTCCTTATGGCCACTGCCAATGGCAAATGCAATCAGTTTGCGCTTCATTTCACCCAAAGGGCTCTTCACTTGGCGTATTGTCTTAATTATGGCTAACGTGTGCGTGTGTGTGTGCGTGTGTGTGTGTGTGTGCACAACAAAGGGTCAATGGGTTAAAGGGTGTTTGTATACTCCAAGAAAACGAGTTGAAATGGAAAAATTGCAATTAGCCTCAATGGAAATGTTACGATACCTAAAGAAATAATAAGCTAAGCGGTTGTTGGTTCAATGCAGAAGAGTTTAGAGGAGTGAGAGAGATAGGTTTATTTGAAAGCTATTGATACAATTTTATGTTTAACAGAGAATAGTTAAGATAATTTGAGCACTTAAATGAATTCGTGATGCGTATACGTTATTTTTAATTGAAATATAAATCAATTTGTGTAAAATTAATATAACCTGAATGAACTGTATACGCTCTTTGGCCTGATTTAAATAATAACCAAATAGCTAAGTATGAGTTTTTTGGGTAGCAGAACCTTTTCAGAAAACATTAATTGGCTACCTGACCAAAAGCTCTGATTGCCGCAGCTGGCATAATCCGACAGGCTAAAGAGCAAAGCCACAAAGTCTGCTTTAGCTCACACTCTTGCCAGTTTCGTTACGCAATCCACCTGGCAAACACAGAGAGAGACAGAGAGAGATAGAGAGCAAGAGAGAGACAGAACGAGGGCAGCTGCCGTCCAGAGTAAACTATTTACCCAAGCGATTAGCTGTCGCTTCAACTGACTTGACAGCATTTGGAGAAGACTCTGGGGATGTGAAAACAATTTTATACTCAACGTCATTAGAGAAAAGTAATTTAGGAAACGCTTAATTTTATTGAAAAAAAAAAAACACCTTGGAAATGTTATCGATTAATGAAGTATATTATATATTGTCAAATATATATTTCACATGCTAAAATTCTTTCAAGTGATTTTCATATAAATATTAATCTTGGCCGCCTCAGCGTTGCGGATGAGGAATGTGATTGCGACGACATAATCGCCATGCGGCATGGGCAGATATTTGGCAAACGCCAAATCATGATCGCCAGTATAGAGCCTGTCGATGATGATGTCATGCTAAGCGAATGGAAGTTCGTAATCAGTATTAGCTATCGTAATGAAGCGATTTAGCTACTCACATCATAGGGACAGGTGTGATTGAGATTGGAGCAATGTCGTATGGTATTATAATACGAGATCAGCAGTGGATTGCTTGGCTTTTTAAGAAACTTGCATGCATCGAAAGTGTTCATTGCTAAAAAGGACTTGTAGCCATTGCTCTTGCGCAACATATGGATGTTGACCTGTTTTTCATAGAATTTGATACATTTAGCGAAGATCTTCATTTCCGACATTCGGCTTGCCGCTTACCGAAGCATTATTAATGGATTGTGGAGCCATTTTCGCATAGATGCTGATGTACTTGTGAGTACGATTGACGGCCTTGATGTAGCAATACTTAAAGTCCCCAAAACTCTTATCGGTGAAGTTGCATTTCAAGTTTGTGAATGTCACATGGGCCGTGCACTGCAGAGCGTGATGGAGTCTTAGAGTGGGTTTAAATACAGAAGGATTTGGCACAGTTCACTCACCATCAGAAAGGTCACGGCTGAGCACAAAACGAACCATTTGAACATGCTGGGAAATCGCATATGAAGCGTAGCTTCAAATTGCTCTCGCTCCTATATATAGGCTTATTGAAAAGCAATGCAAATTATTCAAGCTTAATTATACGATACTTAAACGACATAATATTTGAAATTATTGATAATTGCCTTTGAAAATAATATTCGTTTCGACTGCCTTACTGATTCAAGCGGATGCAATTTATATACGAAGCTTTTTTAGCAAAGGCAGCCAAGGGAGAAGCCAAAGCCAAACACAATGTGAAAATATGAAAGGTAAAAAAAAACTGCTGGCCAGCCAAGAGCTCAAAACGAGTCCAGACTAAAAGAATTTTATTGGCCTTCACTTAACGCTCATAAATTTGTCTGCCGCGAAAGCGGCTGCTGCGACTGCGAGACGAAAATAACAACAAGTTGTGGGGAAAGAGAGGCAAAGGCAAAGGCAAAAGGCAAAGATGCAAGACAAAATGCGGTTGATATGCGACGTTTCCGCACGCCGTGAACTGGTTCCCAAATGGACTTGGAGACAACAGGCCAGATGTGCGTGTGTGTGTGTGTGAGTGGGTGTGTGTAAAAAAGTGCTATTAAATTGGCATGTTACATGGCTGTGCAAGCCACCTGCAGCAGAGCATGCGAGCCACCCTTTTCTTGTTACGACCTCGGGTTAAACTTAAACTTCACTTTACGCATAAATCTGATCAAAAGCGATGAAGAAGAAGCAGAAGAAGAAGAAGCAGCAGCAGTTGCAACCAGCCAGCCAGTCAACAACAGCAACAGCAACAAATTTTGTCTGGGCCAATTGCAGTCAAGAGGCACAACAGCAGCTGGTCTAAAAATAGCCATGGAGTCATGTTGGTCAAGTTTGCTGCCCCGACTGGCATTCGCGTTGCTAACGTTAGTCTGGCTTTCAGCTCTGATCGCGTTTCGTGCGTCATTGCATGCACAGATACACACACACACAGACGCACACTCAGACAGAGACTCACACACGTGTCTCTCACAAGGCGTTGCACCTTTGCACAAAGGTGCATTGATCGCTCGTCTTGTCTGCGGCTGCAGCCAGATTCGCGCTTCGCCATTCGGTCGTTGCCTCACAGCGTCAGCTCTCAAAAATTATTGTTGTATTTAAGGTATTTATGTGCATATCTCTGGCCCAGCCATAAAAAGAAAATAAGGCAAGCCACAAAGAAAAGAGAAAAGTGCGCAATTTTACATGACCGCACCACAAAATACTCTAACAGAGAAAGAGTTCTTAAGTTTTATTATGAAATTTGCTAAACAAATTTGAATAGTAACTGTTTTTTGATATTCACCCACAGATATTTTATAAATAAAACATTTTACAAACGGATTAAAGTGTCAAATTAATCTCGCATAAACCTTAACCTGGCAGACCTCAGCAATGCGGACCAAGAATGTTATTACGACGACATAATCGCCATGCGGTATGGGCAGATATTTGGCAAACTTCAATTCATGATCGCCAGTATAGAGCCTGTCGATGATAATGTCATGCTAAGCGAATGGAAGTTCGTAA